GGGGGGACAGCGAGGTGACAGCAGCAGTGTCCGGTGGAGGAGGCGCGGAGCGGCCGCGGGAGGCACCGGGGCACGGGCAGGGCACGGCTCCCATCCCAAAAATCCCCCGATCCCAAAAATCCCCCGATCCCCAGAAAAGCCCCGCAGCCTCGGGAAAGCCGCTCCGAGCAGCCCAAGGATGAGGAGAACCCCCCGGCCTCAAAATCCTCCCGGAGAATTCCCCCCAAATCCCGGCAGAACCCCCCTAAAATCGTGGGGAATTTTCCCTAAATCCTGGCAATTCTCCCCAAAACTCGGCAAATCCCACCCTGCCCAAGTCCCAGAAAATTGTCCCCAAATCCTGGCGAATTCCTCCCAAATCCCAGCAAATTCCCCAAAAACCTCAGCAGATATCCCCAGATCCCCCCCAAAAATCCCAGCAAATTCCTCCTAAATCCCAGAAAATTCCTCCCCAAATCAGGATTTTGGGAAAAGACTTTTCCAGAGAAGTTTTGCCAGAGTCGGATCCAAAAATCCCCAATTTCAATTCTTTTACTCCAAATTAACATCAGAAGGAATTCGGAGCTGTTATTAATAATTATTAATTATTAATCATTAATTATTCCCAGATCCCTGCTGTGCTTTTCCAGCTCATTCCTGTTTTTCCCTCACTCTCCTGTTGTCCCAGTCCAGAAAGCATTCCCTAAAATCCCCAAATTCCTGGAATTTGGAAGGGGCAGCAGGGAAGGTGGAATCCAGGCAGGATCAGGAATCCCAAATATTCCTGCAGGGGGGAACACGGGGATGATCCCAGGGAAAATTCCATGGATTTCACCCCAAAACTTGGAAAATCCTATGGAAAAATCCCATGGGTGCCATCCCAAAGCTGGAAAATCCAATGGATATCACCCTAAATCTGGAAAATTCCATGGATATCACACAAAACTTGGGAAAACGCTGTGGATGCCATCCCAAAACTGGAAAAATCCAATGGATACCATTCCAAACTGGAAAAAAACCCATGGATATCAACCAAAACTGGGAAAATCCAAAGGATATTATCCCAAACTGGGAAAATTCCAATGGATTCCATCCCAAAGCAGGAAAATCCAATGGAAACCATCCCAAAACTGGAAAAAATCCAGTGGATATCAGTGAAAACTTGGAAAAATCCAATGGATTCCATCCCAAAACTGGAAAAATCCCATGGATATAATCCCAAAACTGGAAAAATCCAATGGATATAATAAAGGGAATGGATTTGGGATGGGAATTCCAGGACGCAGGGAATGGATTTAAACTGGAAAAAAAGGGAATTTGGGAATCTCTGGGATGGAATTCCCAGAGAAGCTGTGGCTGGGTGTGGGGTGGGATTGGGTGATCCCTCAGCTCCTTCCATCCCAAAATTCCATGAATAAATTCCCTCCATGCCTGTTCTCCATGGACTCCCCAAATTCCAGCTGGAAATCCTGGGATGGGAAGAGATCCTGAAGGTCAGGGACACCCAAATCCCATCCCAACCCCACCCAAATCCTTGGATTTTGGGTCTCCATCCCGAAATTTAACCCCTCTTCCCATCCCCATGGAAACTGGGATGGGTAATTCCCAATAAAATTTATCCCAAGGAAAAATGGGCTGAATTTGGGGGATTTTATCCCAAATTTTCCAAATTTTATTTCTTTATTTTCCAGTTTTATCCCAAATTTTCCCAGCTCCAGCCCCAACCTGGACAAGCTGGGTCCTGCAATCCCCTCTGGAATTCCTGCTGGCAGGAAATGGGAATTTTCCAAGGATTTTTGGGGGATTTTTTTTTTGGAGCACAGAATGGGAATTTCAGCTCCATTTTATTCCATGGAAAGGGCAGCTCCAGCAGGGCTGGCCTGGAGTTGGGATTTGTCTTGAAACTCCTAAAAAAAGTTATTTTTTCCAGCTTTTTTTGGCAGGGGAAAAAAGATAAATCCAAATTTTGAGAGCTGACTGCCTGCTAAAAACTGGGATTTTTTCCCCTAAAAAAACCATGGATTTTGCTTCCCAAAACTCCATTTCCCTCTCCCAAACTGAAAAATTCCACACTTTTCCATGGCATTTCCCACTGCCTTGGACACAGCAAATCCCAATTCTCAAATTTTTAAGGAGTTTTAATTAAAACGAAGTAATTTTTCCTTAAGTTTAAGTTATAACAGAAGGGTTTTTTTCCCCTATTTTCCCATTGGGAGTTTGCTCCTGGATCAAAATTTGGGAATTAATCCCTCCTAAATCCTTCAATTTTCCCAACAGCGTCTCTAAAAAAAAAAAAAAAATCCTCAAATTGGATTTCCCCCCCCCAAAAAAGGGGAAAGGGAAAAAAAAGGGAAAATTCAGAATGAACTGGATTTTTGCAACCCCTGAAATCCCAAAAAAGGGGGTGGGGCAGAGGGAGAATGGGGGGAATTAAAAGGAATTTTCTGGTCCTGATGCTGGCACTTGGAATTGCAAATTCCCGAGGGATGCAGCTCTGTTTTAGGGCCTGGGATTTGGGATGGAGCACCAGGATTTGGGATGGAGCACCAGGATTTGGGATTGGCTCTGGGATTTGGGATGGAGCCCTGGGATTCACACAGACCCTTGAGATTTGGGATGGATGCCCAAAATTTGGGATGGACGCTTGGGATTTCACACAGATCCCTGGGATTCACCACAGATTCACTGCAGAATCCCAGGATTTGGGATGGACCCCTGGGATCTGGGGCTTTTGGGACAATCCCTGGAGTTCTGCCTCAACCCCTGAGGTTTTCCAGCAGATCCCTGGGTTTTGGGGCAGACCCTCAGATTTTTGAGGAACAGACTCCCAGTTTTCCAGCAGATTTTTGGATTATCCTGCAGAACCCAGATTTTTGCTCCAGACCCCCAGGTTTTCCAGCAGAATCCCAGGATTTGGGGCAAACCCTCAGGATTTCCTGCAGAGCCTCGAGTTTTGGCAAAAATCCCTGGATTTGGGGACAGGGATTTGCCCCAAGCCCCTGGGTTTTCCTGCAGAGCTCCGAATTTTCCAAGTTTTGGGGCAAACCCCCTCGGTTTTCCAGCAGAACCTCAGATTTTGGGACAGACCCCCGGATTTTCCAGAAGACCCTCGAGTTTTCCAACAGAGCCCCAAGTTTCTGTGCCACCCCTGAAGTTTTTCAGGGCATCCCCAGCTTCCCCTTCAGCCCCTCAGTTTTCCCCCAAATCCCTCAGCTTTTCTCAAACCCTTCAGCATTTGCTGCACTCCTCACTTTCCCCAAACCCCTCACTTTTATCCCCAATTCCCACTTTTCCCCCAAACCCTTCAGCATTTCCTGCACTCCTGTTTCCCCCAAACTTTTCACTTTTATCCCCAAACCCATTAGCATTTCCTGCACCCCTCACTTTTCCCCCAAACCCCTCACTTTTTCTCTGCATCCTCAGTTCTCCCCAAACCCTTCAGCATTTCCTGCACTCCTCTTTTCCCAAAACCCTTCACTTTCCCCCAATCCCCTCAGCATTTCCTGCACTCCTCCGTTTCCCCCTCACCCTCAGCATTTCCCTCACTCTCTCCCCCTCACCCTCGCTTTCCTTTTCCCCGCACAGCCCCGCGTTTCCCCGCTCTCCGTGCACCAAAACTTTCCGCGCTGTTTCCGGAGCGCGGCCGCGGGCCCGTCCCGGCGCGGGGGGACCCCGGAGCCGCCCGGGGCTCCCTCAGCGCTCCCCGCCCGGCCTCGCCAGCCCCGAGCCGTGGCCTGGTGGCCCTCGGTGGCCCTGGTGGTGGCCCGGTCCCCTCCCCCACTCCCCTCCCCCGCCTTCCCAAGGCTCTGGCACCAATAATCCGCCTTTGCTGACATGCTCTGGTGGCTGTGCCTATCGGGCAACTCCCAGGATGCACTCCCGCTCCTCCCTGGCACCCCCTCACCCGTGCCCACCCTCCCCTCGGACTTCCCAGCCTTTGCTTTTTTTTTTGCTTTTTTTTTTTATTATCTCCACCCCCCCCCCTCCGCCGTCCCTTCACGCACCCGGCCGCACTTTCATCCCCCCCCGAACCCCCCTGGCGCTTTCGCGCTCTCGCTCACCCCAATTCCCCGCGTCCCTCACGGGCTTCCCGCTCGCCATGGCCGGGTTTTCCCCGCTCCCTTCTCCCCTCACAAACCAACCCCCCCCATAACCCCGGATCTCCGGCCCTGGCGCTCTCCCCCCCCTCCATTGCCCCAAACCCGGAGCCCCCCTCAGGGGGAAGGGGGTGTGTGTGGGG